TGTCTTCATTCATAAAATCCCTTTCATGCTTATCGCTTGAATCGGATTAAAAATTACGTTTATCTTATTTATTTCTTTTAAGAGAAAAGGGGGAAAAGGAAAAAAAATAAATTCTTAACATGGTTTGGTTTTTGCTTCCCACGTGATCGATTTTTTTTTTCTCAAACGCTTAGATTTCATAATTCAATCTGGTTTAACCGGTTCAATGGTTCCAGTTTGGCTTTCACTTCTGGTTTTATTTAGCAAAAGGAATCGAATCCACGTTAAGAATTTTTTTTTTTTTTCATTTTTCCCCCTTTGAAAAAAACATAATAACAATAAGCGCAATTTTCGATCCGATTTAAGCGATAAACAGGAAGCGGGTTTTAAGAATTAAGATTGTAGTAACCGAAAAAAAACCGGATTGAAGAAATGTGAATTAAGGAGAAGAAATTAAACGATGTATGAAAAAACGATTTAGAAAACAAATGGAAACGAGATATGATTTATTTCTTAATTCAAAAATCTTCGGCAACATCTGAATACCAAGATACAATTGTGTTGAGACTATAATTGCGATACTCGTTTATAGAAAAAGTGAACTAAGAATATACGAGAGAGAAGAAGAGAAGAGGAATTGCTGAAAAATTTGTAAGTTGTGAATGTATGAGTGTAATTGGAGAGGTAAGGAAGTGTGCCTTTTATAGGTTTTTTTCAAAGCATGAGTTATGGGATTGGTTCAATCACAATAATTTGACCCAATAATTTTAAATCATGCAATTAAAAGACATCCGTTTCATGTTTTGTTCTTCCCAAATTAAGAAGAAATTAGAAACGTTATTGACATCTTGACAATGAATCTAAGTAATGCATGATACTTGATGCGCACGTTTTATTTTATTTTTTGTTCAAACCAACTTTTTATAGACAGATTAAACTCCAAAACTGGAGAAAGTGTCAAGGTCTAACAAAGAAGACATAAATGAAAATTCGGCTAAAACATATGCGGTGCACGTTTTATTCTTTTAAAATTAAGTAAAAGAAATATTTTTGTTTTGTTTTAAACACAATTAACCACAAAACTAAAATGAATTTGGCCCATAAACTATGATTCATTTATCAAATCCAAAGCCATATCTCGATCTCAATTCAAAATTATTTGACAAGAAATATGTTCTCTCCATTACACTATGGCGTAATTACAAAGTTTTAAACTTTGTTACTTGAGATTTTTCTATGAGTCCAATGACTCATTTCTCATTCACATCTTTGACAAGGGAATAAAACCTAATAAGGCTTGTAAAAATTGATCTAACAAAAACGTCTACTGTATATGTCACAATACCAAAAAGCAAATAAAACAGAAACAATACCGAAAGTCACTTACTAAATAACTGCGACTCCACCAATAGCTTTGATGTTTACTATGATTTCCTTAGCTTGCTCCTTTCTCATAACACCTTTGTTTCTTTAACATTTTGTGTTTTGCACAGATTAAATGGAGATCGATTGAGCAAAGAAAAAACAGAAGTTTACTGTTGGATCGAGCTAGGCAAAGGGAAAGTAGAAAAC